CAAAGGCATTGGAATTGAACAATATAGGTTAAATTTCTGCCTTTCCTGCCATTCACTCTGTTGCCAAATGATGTTGGACAAATTTAGATGAAGCCGGTGCTTCTCAACTCTGCCTGAATTTAAATTGCTTTAGGATTGTATCAAGACTACAAAAGAATTTATTTAAAGTGTTTTCGTCTCTTCTGTGACCCAATTAAATTGGAATATATTGAGGGTGTGGCTCAGGTACTGAAAAGATGTCATACATAGCACCTGTATTACTTTAATAAGTTTAAAGCTATTTAAAGGTAGTCCTAATAGACAGTGAGGGTTGAGAATGTCTCTGGTATCTAATTCAAAGGGTTTTGAACACATGATGTGAGAGTGAATTTAAGGGCTGGAGAGATGTTGCAGTTGGTAAAGTGCATGATATGCAAGCAGGAGCACCTGAGTTTCAGTCCCAGCATGCGTGCACAAAAGCTGAGCATAGCAGTGCAGACCTTAACCCAGCGCTGGGAAGGCAGATACAAGAGGATCCCTGGGCTTGCTGAATCCATGAGTTCCAGGTTATAAGAAACCCTTTCTCAAAAACATGGTCTAGACCAACTGAGAAAGACACCTGATGTTGACTTCTGACCTACACACACACACACACACACACACACACACACACATACAGAGAGAGAGAGAGAGAGAGAGAGAGAGAGAGAGAGAGAGAGAGAAGAGAGAGAGAGAGAGAAGAAACACATAGTAGATTAACTCAGTGCCTGATACACAGTAAGTGGTCTTTCACGAAGTTAATATATCACCTTAAGTTGTAGCCTTCCTCTTTTCTGATTACTATCCTCTTTCAGTCACCTCAGTGACTCTGACTTCCTTTCAATTCCTGGAACACACAAAGAGTTTCCAGCTCTTGTACCTTCATAGTTATCCTTCAACCTGCCCTTCTCAGACACCTCACAATTTTCATGCACCTAGAGTCACATACAGTGGTCAGGTAGCCTTATTTATGGTATATCTTTTTGGCACTTGTGATCTGAATTGAAATGTCATGTGTCTGAACACTTGGCACCCAGCTGGTGGTGCTGTTTTAGAAGGTTGTGAAACTTTTAAGAAGTGGAGCCTTCCTGGAGGAAGTGGGTCACCTGGGGTATGCTTTGAGGTTTTTATATCCCTGCTCCATTTCCTGTCCACTATCCAATTTGACCAGGTGTCTCGTGCTCCTGCCACTGTGCCTTCCCATCATGATGGACTTTCTTAAAACATAATCTAAAATAAATTGTTTTCCCCCTAAGTTACATCTTGTCAGGTATTTGATCACGAGAAGTAACTAACATAGTACATGTCTCAACTGTCATTATATATTAATTTGACCATTATTGTTTCCACCATTAGACTGTAAGTGGCAAGACTTGTCTATTTTGCTTTTCTCCTAACGTCCAGTGCCTAATGTCTTCTAAATGCTCAGGTTGTAGTTGTTGAAGGGATGAATGGACTAATAAATAATCTATCCTATAATCTTGAAAAGCCAAAATCCCTTTTAGGGCCCCTTAACTGTATGTATCTGGGTTAGTCTGTTTTGTTTTGCTTGCTATAATAAAATATCCAAGGCTGGGTCATTTTTACAGAGATTTTATGTAACTCACAGTTTTGGTGGCTCAAAGTCCTAGATCAAGTGGCCTGACTGTTGGGCCCCTGATGAAGGCCTTCTACCTTCATGATAATATGGTGGATGGTATGGTGCGAGCACGTGCAAGGTGAAGATTCCCATCTTGAAGTAAGGAGGCTTGCTCTTTTTATAATCACCTGTTCTCTGGGAGCTAATCTACTTACCCCAGTCTTTAATCACTCAGACCAGCATTAGCCCATTCATGAGGGTAGAGCCCACATTGCTTAATTACTGTTTATTAGTCCCCAACCCACCTCCTAAAGGATTTTCTTCTTGGCATCACCTCACCAAGGCCATGTTTCAGCACATGAATCTTGGGGTCCAGGTGTGGAGAAGTCACAACCAAACAAAGCAGTATCTCACATCAAAACATGATAAAACAAAAACTGGCAGGTGTGGTGACACAGGCCTGTGCTCTCAGGATTTGGGAAGCAGAGCCTGGAAGATCTGTACAAGGTCAGCCTGGTCTACATACCGAGTTTCAGGCCAGTAAGGGCTATATAGTGAGATTTTGTCTCAAAAAAGACCAAATCAAACAAACAACTATCATAAAACCAAGGTAGGATATTTTTTAGTTTTTTTTTTTTTTTTTTTTTTTTTTTTTTTTTTTTTTTTTTTTGGTTCCAATTACTGAGTAGAAAAACTGCCACACTATTTGGATATAATTTTTGGATATTTTTAATTTGAGTTTCCAAGTCCAAGGCTCTCAGAAACTTACAAATAAGGCTTAGCAGGCTTCAGCTTTTAGTCAATAACTACTATTAGTTCAACAGCATCTGACTCCCAGAAGGCAAATGACCTTTTGTTAATATTTGTATCTAATTAGTTAAACTTTTTATTTTCATAACATACCTTATGTTCTGTTTGAAAGATTGAATAATATGTAAGGTTAGTATAAACAAGTCACAGAATTCCCAAATCATTGATATTTCTATCAGAAAGAGGCTAGAAAAATGAATTTATTGAACATGATTATATAGACATGCTCATCCTTCATCAGAAGTCTAGTGACCTTAAACCAATTGCAAAGTAATCCAAAGTTAATATGATCATTGCCAAGTTCTTAAGTTATATCTTGCCATCAATTAATTTTGGATTTTAATGTTTTCATGCTACTTTTCTTGTTGCTGTGAAAAAAATAACCAGCAAAAACACTTTAGGGAGGAAGGGTTTATTTGGGTTCACATTAATTTTTTTTTTAAAGATTCTGGGGCTGAAAAGATGATTCAGCATTTAAGAGCACTGACTGCTCTTGCAGAGGACCGGCTTCGATTCCTAGTACCTACATGGTGGCTAATACCCTTTGGCAACTCCAGTTCCAGGGGATCTGACCTCCTTGGACACTATGTGACACAGGTGCACTACATGCATGCAGGCAAGATACTCATAACCATAAAATAAAAATAAAGTATTTTAAAAATTTTTACATGTATGTCTTGTCTGCATATATGTAAGTGCACCACATGTGTACAATGCCCATGGAGGCCAGAACAGTTCATCAGATCCCCTAGAACTAGAGTTATGAATAGTTGTTAGCTACCATATGGGTGCTTGGAGCTGCACCTGAGTCCTATGGAGGAGCACCTCTGGAAGTGCTTTTAACCATTGAGCTATTGATCCAGCCCCTTGGCTGACATTTTGAGGGGACATAGGCCATCATGGTGGGCAAAGCATGCTGAGGGGGTGTGAGGTGCTGGTCACATTGCATCCACAGTCATGAAACAGAGTCAGATGAAACGTGATGCTCAAGTAGCTTTCTTTTTATTCTGTCTGGGACCCCAGGCCTTGGAACTGTGCTGCACCACATGCAGAATGTCCCTTCCTTCCTTAGTTAAACCTTTCTGAAAATACTCTCATAGATATATACCCAGTGGTTGTTTCCATGGTGATTCTATTTCCTGTCAAGGTGACAATGAAGATTAACCATTACATATGTACTTTTCTTTTTTCCTTATAAAATTCTTCATTGATGCAACACAATTATAACTCTTCATTTATTACTAAGCATTAAAAGCCACTGGAATTAAACTTAAGAGCTAGAGAAACATTAGAAAATACAAGAAAGGTAATAAAAAAATTACTGAGACTTCTGGTGCAAGTTTAGTTTCTCTCTTTTCAGCAATAAATGTTGGTAAAAAGACAAAAAACATTACAAATCCATCTGCTCATTTTCTAGTTCAAAGTAAGAAAAAACGAAGGCATCTAACTAAATGATACTCTTGAAAATCACGGAAGTTACATTAAGTCCACATTTCCTCTAAAATTCTCATGACTAGTGTCATCTGACACATCCATAATATATTTTGGGGTATACCTCACAAAAAGCAATATATGGAATAGCTGAGTCATGGGAGGTAATTAGCATCAAGGTTTTGGTATGTGGTTTTTTGTTTTTGTTTTGTTTGAGACAGGGTCTCTCTGTAGCCCTAATTGGCTTTGTTATGTAGACAAGGCTAGCCTCCATATCTCAGAGAGTCACCTGTCTCTGCTACTCAAGTGCTGGGATTAAAAATGTGTGCCACCATGCCCAGCTTGTTATTGGCTGAAAAACAAAAACAAAACTGTGGAAGGAGAAAGATTTGGTCAAAATGCATTAGGTACATGTATGAAATTTTCTTTTAATGTTTTTCTTAATTCTTTGAGAATTTCATACAATTTAATCATATTTGCCCTTCCTTCTGCCCCCACTCTCCTGGATCTACTCCACACCTCCACATGCCAATTTCCTGTTCATGAAATTTTCAAAGAATAAATCAAAATTATTTAAAAAATCTTGTTAATGAATGCTTTCTGGGGGATCACTGCACATGACAGTTGACAGCCACCACTTTTCATACAGAAGTTCATTTGCACAGACTCCAAAGATCTGTTCTAGAGATTAGTTCATGTTGGAGAAGCATGGTCTTAAATTGAACAGAAATAATGTTTCTAAAAGAGATGATGGGGTTTATGTTGTCTGTTCTTTGGCTTCTTAAATCTAGAGTCCTGTGGATGAAAACTGACTTTAAACACATTACCTAGTTGTCTCTGGGGAATCATTAGAAATGAAACCCGCGGACTGATGATGAGTGAAAAATATCAAAATACCAACTATATTCTCCAAAATAACTTGGGACTTTCCAGGGAAAGGAAAAAAAAAAAGGAGAGCAACACAAGGCAGAAGGGATATTGAAGAGTCCTGGGCGGGATTGCCAGAGGACTGGCGCCGCAAAACCCGCCATCATCAATCTGCGCAGCGGAGGCCCTTGCGGGGGGCGGGGCCTCGAGCCGCGCGTGCGTGCGTCCGCGCACGATTCCCCCACTCCGCCCACAGTCTGGACACCCGTCAAAACCCGGGACAGCGAACAACAGCTGATGCCTCCCAGGACAAGGTCCCGCCTCCCTTCAGCATCGGTTTCTGCAGACCGGAAGTCCCTTTGCCCCGTCTGTGTGGTGCACTAGCTTTCTCTCAGCGGGAACCGGAAACTCTTCTGCCCCGACCTACGCTCCCAGCCGCGCATGCTCAGGGCGACGCGGGCGGAGCTGTGGGAGGGGAACAGGCCTGGGGGCCGGTCCCTGAAGATGGCGGAGGAGGGGGTTAGTTGGGGGTCTCCTCGCAGAGCGCAGGTGAGCTGCTGTGGAGGGGAATGGCCTTGGGGACGCGGTGGCTTGCGGGAAGAGGAAGTACTTCTGCGTTTTTCTTGCAGGCTGGGGATCTTGGTGGCTGGTGGCTGGTGTTTAGGGGATCAAGGATCGGCAGGTGGGGCCTGCTGAGCGAGAGTCCCGGCTTACCTGGAGAGAGGACGGTGGGGTATGGAAGGGGACAGTGGGCACAGCCTGTAGGGGAGGCCGCGGTCTCGGGGACAGTGGACGACTGAAGAAGGCCGGAGGACGGCCGGAAGGGCGACCCTGGAGGTCTGTTGGGGGCTGAGATGGGCCAAGCTGGTCAAGCGTACACCTGTCAAGGTGACTTGTCGCCAGGGAGAAAGACTGCCAAGGGATGGATCCCAATTAGGTAGGTGATCGTAATAAATCAATCCACCGACATGAGAGGACTTGGAGTTGGACTTTGGGGTTTTGGATCAGAAGTGGATACCTTTGAGGCAAGTCAGTGGGTGTAGCCAAAGAGAGCTCTTGCCAGGGCCTGAAGCCGGTTGGTGGTAGTAATTGGGATTTTAGGGTCGCTCGGTGGGGATGGGCAGTCGGAAAGAACAGTGCACTGTTGAGGACGGGTTTGAGGGCAAGGAAGGGTGTTAAAACTTACGTGAAAACAACCTATGTTCGGTTAATATTGGGGAAAGTTGTTAAAGGATCGTGTTAGCTGTATAGTGGAGGGAAGAAACCGCGAAGAGCTTGCTGTTTTGTGGGATTGATGAAACTCCTGAAGAGGGAACAGATGGTCTTGACAGTTGAGCGAGTGAAACTGGTTAGCATCGTACTGCAGGGGAAGTCAGATTCCAGTCCTGGATGCAGGAAAATGGAAGTTTGCCATGCA